GCTTGATGGAACTGGTGAAATAAGGTGCTGGTGAGACAAAAAGGCCAAAGCTGTGTGTCAGAAAGGCACTGTGGAAATGCAGCAGCTGCTGCTGGAGATTCCTGTTTGCCTTTTCAGCTGGCAGGACCTTCCTGGCCTGTCTCCTCCTGTGTTACCTACTTTGTATGTGCCTGTTTTCCTTCTCCAAAGCAGCATTCCTGCGCTGTGCTTTGCCTCTGCGTATCCAGTGTGTCTGCTGCCTGGCAAAGGCAAACCTGACCTTGACACAAAACGTGTGGTTCTTTCTCCTCTTTTAGCAGCGTCGCCCGTAAGCTGAAAAACTGGCCAGCACAATGGGAAAAAAACAGAACAAGAAGAAAGTGGAAGAGGTCTTAGAGGAAGAGGAGGAGGAGTATGTGGTGGAGAAGGTCCTGGATCGGCGAGTGGTGAAGGGCAAAGTGGAATATCTGCTGAAGTGGAAAGGCTTCTCAGAGTAAGTGCCTCCCTGCCTGCTGCTGCGGTGCCGAAGCCTCCGGGCAGGTGGCTCAGTCTCCCCACACCTCTCCTCATCTGTACAATGGAGCTAAAGGCCAAGGGCAGCTGTAATGATAGAAATGGTGGTTCTAAATGCCTCGAGCTCTAATCAGGGTGAGGAGAGCGCAGCCTCGGTGAGGAAGTCCCGTTTCTGCCTTGCAAACAGGCTGTGCGGTGCCCCGGTGGGGCTTCTCCCCTGCTGCCCTAAACCTAGTCTGAAACAAGCAGCCAGATAAAACAAATTGCCTCTCCCCCGAGGAGCAAAATAACTGCCCTGCCCTCTGGCGTCCCTGCCCAGATCAGGGCAGGGTCCTGTTTCATGGGGTGAGGACACCCACATCCATTCTGCTGCTTCTCTCACCATCTCCTCGTGACCTGGTGTCCAGGGCTTTTCTTGGCAGGGAAAGCTGCAGCAAGCTGCCCCCACGTAAAACTAAGCTGTTGTCTTTGATTGCAGTGAAGATAACACATGGGAGCCAGAGGAGAACCTCGACTGCCCAGACCTCATTGCAGAGTTCCTTCAGTCCCAGAAAACCGCCCATGAGAGCGAGAAGTCTGAGGGAAGCAAGCGCAAAGCGGAGTCTGACACGGAGGATAAAGGGGAGGAGAGCAAACCAAAGAAGAAGAAGGAGGAGGTGAGGCAGGGTGGCGTTTCTGTGCTCACCTCCCTACTCCTGCACTTGGCACGGTGTCGGGGAGCTAGAGCAGCCACGCTCCAAAACCTCAGTCAGACTGTTCTCCTGCACAGAAGGGAAACTATTGCACTTCAGTGAGACACAGCCTGAAGTGCTTTTGAAAAGCTGTAGTTTTCGGAAGGAGGTGTGAGCTGTTGCCTCAGCTAGGCCTCTTAGTGAATCCAGAGCCAGTCCTAGCACTAAATGGAAAGGCTAGTTCTTGAACCAAAAGGGGATGGAGCCCCAGCTTCTGAGGAACCGCACGTGGGGCGAAACAGGAGGCAGGAGTTGCCCCTTGAAGAGGGAGATCAAGGTGGAGCAGAGAGCGTCTTGCTCAGGGGGCTCATAGCTGCTTGGGAAAAGGGATGGTAAAAGACTCTTGAGTTTCATCCCTGGAGCTGCTGAATCTTGGCCGGTGCAAGAGTTTGAGCAGCAGGACCTTGGAAATGGGAACCGCTGCTCATGGCATCGGCGGGGCGCTCTGCCGTGCTGCCCGGGGCCCAGCAGGAGATCACCTTTGTGTGGGGGGTTCACACCGAGCCGTCTCCTCAGCTCCCCGCTGGCCTTGACTTATCGTTATAGTCCCAGTATCCGATAGGCAGAGGCTTTCTGAACGGGCACTGGTGTGTCCTGGTGACCAGAAACAGGGCTGTGGCTGTCCCCTCCCTGGGTGATGCTACAAACAGAAACTTGTCTCTTTTCAGTCGGAGAAACCGCGAGGCTTCGCCCGAGGATTTGAGCCAGAGCGAATCATCGGTGCCACGGATTCCAGCGGGGAGCTCATGTTCCTGATGAAGTGGTGAGTGTGTCTTTGTGTCTGTCACTTCTTCACTTATTCTGTGCCAGAGAGGGAAGGACCTGCGCCTGGGGAGTCCCTGCTACCTGGCATGAAATCTCTCGCGATGGCGCTGCCGCCTGAGGTGACCCTCTGCGCTGAGGCTAACGTGGATGTGAAACGAGCAGGTAGGGCCCTCAGGATTGTGTGACTCTTAAGATGTCCCCCTGCAGCAGTCGCGAGCTTGGGGGAGAAAGAGGGGCTTGGTGTTGCAGCGCGGGCTGCAGCTCCGGAAGGCTGCACCCAGAGGAGAGCCGTGACGATGACCGCGTCCCCTCCGGCTGTAGTGACCCCGGGCTTGTCGCTGGCACAGGTGGGAGCTGAACCGCTCAGGCCTCGGTGTGGGAGCCGTTTGCTTTTGCGCCGTCTCAGAAGTACAGAATGGCTGGGGGCAGGGCCGCAGCTTGGATTCGGCTTCTCCCCTCATCCCCGACAACACGGAGCTGTGAACGCGACGCCTGAATTTTCCCTGGGTTCACGTGCTGCTTCTCCCTGCTCCAGAGCCACTCACGAAGGGGTCGCTTGGATCCTTCCCGAGCGCCTCAGGGATTCCGTTTACCTGTCGCTTCTTGATTTATTTTTTTTTTTCTTTTCCTCCGGTCTCCACTTCTTCCACCTCCCCTCCACAGCCCCCTAACTTGCACCTCTGCTCTGGCCTGTAGGAAGAACTCCGACGAGGCCGACCTGGTCCCTGCCAAGGAAGCCAACATCAAGTGCCCACAGGTGGTCATCTCGTTCTACGAGGAGAGGTTGACATGGCATTCCTACCCCTCAGAGGACGATGACAAGAAAGAGGACAAGAACTAACCCCTGGCGCCCGCTCTGGCCAGCCTTTGTATAAAGATCTGAACTGTGGGTTTGAGCAAGAGGGAGAGAACGCAGCTCTGCTCGGTTGGGAGCGTAGCGATGGCTGGAGAAGATGCCCTTTGAAGAGACCAGTATGGTTTCTGTGCCCTGCAGCTGCTCAACTGCTTTATGCAGCTTCACGCTGTGTACAGATTCAAACCAGCCCGGCTCAATTTGGGGAGGGGGAGGGAAACACAAGGGGGATATTTGGGGGGAGTGTTAGGGGGAAAATCGGGGTGTTTGTTTCAAGGCTGTCTAATTTTGCAGCCTGTGGGAGAGGAAGCAAAGCCCCTTCCATGAAGGACTATCACTGGTGATGGGTGGGCTGGGGAAAGGGAGTGCAGATGGATACTGCTTATTCTTCAAAGACCATCTCAGCAACCCACAGCCTTCTTCCCGATAGTGTTAACTCTGCATTTTTACGGCGTAGCATGTGTGTAGGTTTTTGGGGGGGGGGGGG